AGGTGACAAGGATTGGGTTAACCAGGAATGGGGGCGGAAGGAATGAAGGAATTGGACCTCCTCACATGGCGAAACACAACGCTATGGTTGTTTCAAGCCGGTTTTCTGTGAAGCCGTGGTTATCATTCCCGTCGTAACGTTACCTTCCACATAATTCTGAAAAAAACATACCAACGTGACACATTTAAAAGTTTCATATGATGTATGTTCACAATAAAGTTTTATTATAGAACGTCATACGAGTTTTATGCTACAGTGATATGATATAGCAGCCAGCTACCAAATACTTTTCACCTAGAAAATAGCAGAATTGAAACGGCGGCGTTCAAAAATGCTATAAAATTCTCATGTCGGAGCCAGCGTACAGCGAATGTGGTCCAATTCAGCTCAAGACCACGCCTCCAATAGAATTGTTCTCACAAAATTATTAGGTTCCCGACCTGACCATTCTGCAAATTAATACTTAAGATTTAATTAGCTAGCAATCTTTTATTTTAATTCTTATACTTAACGTTTTACGAATGAGTACACAGCACGGGACACGGGGCTACGCTAAATTGAACTTTATTAATTATGATTTTGTTTTAATTTCGGTTATGGTAAATTCTTTGGAGCCACTATTATTGTTTTTACTTTGTTCAGTTTACTTAACACTAAACCTTATTTTTTAAGTACTAAGGCATATTCTTAATTATTTTTATTAGATAATATGCAATAGGATAGCAAGCCTGAAGATAAAAAAATACTTTGCGCGATATTTGAACCTGAAAAATTCACATCAGTTACTCAGACAACTACAGAATAAAACCAAATGTTTTAAATAAAACAAAATGAACCTACATATATACAAATCATGATTGTAATAATCACGGAGTAAGATGAAAGGTATAACCTGGCTGTATAACCAGATCTAAGGAAACAACTCTAGGCCTCATTTTAAAAATCGCCTTTGAAACTACTAGATCAATATTCCCCCGAAATTAACGCTCCACCGACCACAGTCCAACCTTACCGGCTTTCGGTAAAAATTTGTAAACTTTGTCCAAATCTCTCATCAAATTCTAGTAGCGCCATTATACGGGAAATTGCTTTTAATTAAAATTTCCTATTAAAGTTGGGCTATCTACGTGTTGTTCTGATCTATATTTAGTTATGAAGGTGCTGTAATATTAATCCAGTCCTGTGTGTGTGTGTAATATTAATCCAGTATTTATTTTATATTTGTTTTCCAAACGTGGCTAACTATAGAATTTTCTCCTACGTTATTTGTTCAATTTGTAGAATTAAACCCGCGGCAAGTTATACAGTAGCCGGTAGCTTAGCCATTGTGCCAAATGATCAGTTAAATGTTTCATAAGTCAGTGCACAATTACTATAAAACTGTTGTAAGTTAAATCGACAATATCTGTTGTCTGAATAAAGCCTGGTCTATAAGCTACCGAAAGAATAAAAAACTCAATGCAATGACACAAGTACCTATGAGGCAAAATTAACGTCAATCCAAGAATTGTCTAGTCTCTCGATAGATAAGTGCTTTAATACCATTTGGCTCGTAGCTCAGGTCTATTTCTAGTCTTCATGTAACAATGAATTTAGAAATCGAAAGATCCAATGACACTCAACCTTTTTCAAATCCGCTTTAATCTAGAAACGAATGACGCAGCAGAAACGTGGTCGTTGATATTTGTTTCTCTCTATTCAAATTACACCGAAAAATAGAATTATCCATTCGTACTTTTACCCAGGAAAATGTAACAAAGAACTCAAGTACCCCTTCTAACTTTATTTGCGAAAACCTAGATTTTGCCTAAAACCTTTTTCTGGGGAAATTCAATAGCTTTTGTCCGTACATTGATTTTCCTTGCGCGAAGCATGGCTGGGCAAAATGTAAAATGGTTTTAGCAATACTATTACTTATCATCAACTATATAAAAGGTAGTAGATATAAAAAATAATTAACAGCTTATTTTGCCCGTTGCTTATTAAGACTGGGTAAGACAACAATGATGTGGGATGCTTGATTTGGAATCTATTTAAAATCATGAGTTTTCAATAATTTTCAATTTAAAATGCAGGTGTTGTAACCACATATAATAAAAACAGTGAGTAAAAATTATAAGTTTTTTATCTATACTAATATTACAAAGAGGTAAAGTTTGTAAATTTGTATGTTTTAGTGTAATCTTGGGAACAGCTGGTCGGATTGAAAATTCTTTCACTGATAGGAAGCTACAATGTTCCTGAGTGATATAGGCTATAAAACATCACGCTACGATCAAATGGAGCCGAGTAGCGGGTGAAACCGCGTGAGAGTAGAGAGAGTAGCTATTAAATAATTAATTAACGATTCTGGAAAACGTCTTGACAAGTCCAATACAATCACTTAAAGTATAGTTAGTGCCAAATAAGTTGCTACAGTACCTAAATCAAAAGGCAAAGTCGAACGGAAAGCGTAGAGCAAAGTTTCAGCGAAGGATCTCCTCTTGATTTACTACAATTAAATTTATACTTGAGACGTACTTTGTCATACAAACCAGAACTAGATTTCACAAGTTCTCAACTTAGATTTTTCACACAAAAAAAGGGTTTGCTACATTAAAATTCTAGGTACAAGCGAAAAGTCTGTTTTATTCTGAGTCACTGAAACTACCTATTTTCTTAAAAAAAAAACTGACTATATAATACGGTAGTTTCCAACTAGTCAAATTCAATACTTTTATCCACATGTCAAAAACGATTTCTATGCAATTTGTATGAAACGCTTAGTTATGACGTCATAGCATTTTAGAGTCAAATAGCTTACTTATTTCTTAAAAATTTGTAAATAAATATCTAAAAGTTAGTGTATCGATCGATGAATAAAATTATAGTTATTTTTCAATACATATATTATTTTATTGAAACGTCGAAATAATTTATTTTTGACCTAGGAAATCTATCTTTATATATAAAAATTTCGAATCATGTGTTACTAAACTATTAAACCGATTTTAAATTTGATTTGCATTCCGTGTGTAAATTTGATTTTCTATGTCATAGAAAAAATGCTATAAATGTACCTATGTATTTTTGTACTAAATAACATCACATCATCAACCTATGAGTGTCCGCTGGTGAGCAAATGCGTCTTCTCACAGAAGGTTTGAGCTTTAATCACCACTATTTCTCAAGGCGGATTGGCGATTTCAAACTCATAATTAAAAATTATAAGTTCAGGTTTCCTCACGATATTTTCCTTCACCGTATGTCAGTAGTGTCTAAATAATCATAGAAAGTACATGTAGCTCGGAAAAAGTAATATTGACACTTGCCAGGTTTTGAACCCTCATGCATGAGAAGTGGGCGCCTTAACCTCGACTTAATAATATACTTCTGGTTAACTGCGGTAGGTATATGTAATATAGGTATTTAAAATTGTACTACAAAAACATCGATTCAAAAGTTGTTAAAAACAAAAAAATAATCCGTTTTGAATTCTAAATTCGGTTTTTAACATTTTTTAAACAAAAAATCTTTATTCGCGTAACGGCCAAAAACAAAATGACCCCAAAATAACAAGATATAACTAAACGCATTATCGAAAAGTCGTCAAATACCGACGTCATTATTAACTTGTTTTGTATTAAAAAGTTACATCGTTGCCTCATATTTTACTGGAGCGCAGTGTTAGGCCGGAAATTGGCTCGAACTACCTATTAAGAAAGCTTAACATCTTCCTGATACTACGACAATAATATCCCAGAAGATTATTATTACAATATTTATGTACAATATTTTACAGAAGGGAAGTTACTTTTATTTTGCTCGCAACTAATAAGCATCAATGTCGGAATGTTATTCTATTATGCTATACGAATTCAAAAAGTGTTCCAAATATAAAAAAAAATAATATGGTTGAGAGGATAAGTTAAATGTGTGTGTGTGTGTGTGAACAATACACACAATGTTATTATGTATAACGTTGTATTCAATAATATCCCCCATACATCATCCATTATCGGAATGTTGAATTAGAGAAATGAACATTACGAGAACAAAGGCATGTCACTGGTAATAAATAGCTGCAGAACGGGATCGCTTAACCCTTGGCCGTGAACATCGTTAGAGGTAAATATATGAAATCCCAATGACCCTAAAAGGTCAGCTGGGTCTAAACTATAGAGACATTTTTCACAAGAGATCTGTCTACGGGGTAATTTATACGCAAAATAAGCAATGTATTCAGACAGCCTTCATTAAAATGATTGCTCTAGTTGAATACACAGAGGGTTTCATTACATCGTATTATATAATAGATATGTATACGCAACATAATTGAACCTACCGTAACAAAACAAGCTACCGACCGACATTTCGGGCTGCCGACGTCGAGGGGACAGAAGTGGGACCCTCCATTAAAGGCGATAAGACACGCGGCTATCGAGATCAGAAGTCAGCAGCATCGTGTCCGTCCACTGAGTACCCAGGGGCCGCAGCCCCGACACTAAGGCTCCTAATGAAAATGTTTTCTGTCTAAGCTGACAAACAAGTCAGTGGGCGGACAGAAAGCCATCACGCCCAGCTTAATCGCAAAGCCTGATCTCGGAATTTTATAAAAATAGCTGTTTGTTGACAACAAAAATACCTTTCTCGAGCCTTCCACACAAATATTATATTTATAAAATTTGAATCAAACATTAAATGAAACTTTTCTAACATGTCAGTAATGCGTGCTTTGACACGGAAGCGGTTTCACAGTTTCTGTTCCCTTTCTCCGTAGCGCGCTTCCAACAAAAACGTTTTCAGAATTTTGAACTAGCATCGAGCACATACCAACGAACAAGTTTTTATTGCCTTGGATGTTGGCAGCTTCCCTAGAAGCGGCCTGACATAACTACTGAGCATACATTGATCAAGTAGCTACATTCGAATCCATAAGAGAATCGTAATAAATATCTTCAGTATTAAAATTCGTCATAGGCTACAATTTGTAGACCGATATGAAAAAATATCATTATAAGATGGAACGTATCGTAAATCAGTCGGGGATGAAGAGGGAATTGAAACGTGGTGTGCGGCGTCGGGTCGGCGGCGGGTCGGCGGCGGAGCGAGCTGGCGGGCGCGTGCGCGGCGCGAGCGGGGCGCGCGGGGGCGGGGCGCGGCGCAGCCTCCCAGCTGCTGCACTCCGCCGCCGCCCGCCGCCCGCATCGATCCCGCCCGGGCCGCAGCCTCCGGCGAGCCGGGACCCGACGCGCGCGTCCCGAACGCGCGCCGCACGCGACCTCCACGCGTACCGCACGACGCCCGCACGCCGCGCGCCCGCCGCGCTCGCCAGCTGCACGCCCCAAGGTCCACATACCCCTGCATCTCATCTCGCGCCCACAACAATAACAGTAATCGCCAATGTTGCAGGTTATAATCGTGGCTTACGTAACGTTTGAGATTTCGTGCGTATTGACAGGTTATGTGTGTCAGTGGCCCTCGTCAGAGCCGTCGTGACATCCGCGAAGGTGTCCACTTGTTATGTCCGTGCCACAGTGCGGGCCGCTGTGCCGCGGGTTGATTGTGTTGCGACGTCGCTGACATGAAAAGGTTGCGTATAAATAAAGTATAACGGGGATTTATCTCCACACGTTCCTTCTCGTCGAGTGAATATTTTAGCTACGAGCGCTGCTACACACATAACCTGAAGTCTACGAGAAAGAGCTGTCTGTCGCGCCGTAGTTTTTGGATTTATTCACAGAAAATTCGACTTAAAATCTAGTGCGATAAAGTCGAAAACCGAGTTTTATAAAAGTATCTTTCACTAACCGCCGAATTAAGCGGTTACAAATAGAACTTATGAAAACTCCGTTGTTCGTTAGTGTTATTAGTATAATTATCTTCTTTAAAACAGCATCGTAAAAGCAAATTATTCTAGCTTACCTGTTCATATCGAAAAAATATTTTATTCACAGACATAACGTCAACGACAAAAACGTGTTTTGTCGCAAAAACTTACAAATTCCTTGTTTCGGGCGAATATGGGTAGAATTTTCATTAAAAATAATTTAATCACTCTTTCCATTTAATATATACCCCATAATTAAAATAGAACTCAAATAGATATAGAAATAGAAAGTGATACCTATCTGGTCTTTTTAAGTGCTACGTTGTATAAAATAAAAAAAATAAAAAAATCGAACTGAAAAACCTTTGTTCCTTAACAATAAATAGTAAAATGTAAAGTCATTATAAAACCACATAAATACAGTAAATATAAATTATACTACTAACAAAATGTCGTAGCACAAAGTCGTACATAACAGTTTAATACATGACCGCGGAAAAATTGGTCACATGCTTAGAGTGATAATATTCTTATTATAACATTTACACTATCAATTAAAAACCCGACTGCGTTACATATAAAGTACGTAAGTCAACAAATAACTTGTCAATGTGTAAGTGCTTTGACCTTTTACCAAGTTGTTAATGAGTAGGAACATATTGAATGTTCAATTAGAGCGGCTTAACTAATCCAGTATTATGGTAGGAGAGGTTTCAGTACCAGTCGAAGCATCAACAGGCTAGGCTAGTGACGGCGCCGGCGCACCGTGATCTCGCACCAATTAACCCATCACGTACAACATAATACTTAAAAGTTAAACTTACTGGCTACTCGACAAACATCAGGGATATTCCCAGTGCGACAGCGCACGGTCTATCAATTTAAGCAAATATCATGTCAGCTCACTTGCGGTCGAATTATTTAATTTTTACGTGTTAAAGTAAATATTCGGTTGGATGTTTGCCAATTTTAGTCATCAGTAATCACTCATCGTTCATTATCGGTAATAGTCATTTGTGTGGTCCTTGGGTGCGGTCGTACGCAGCCCGTTTTAAAACCAAACGCTTTACGGTAAAGACAGGTATGAGCAGCGGAGTGACCGTGTTATAAATTCGGACGTCTAGTGTGTACTGCGCTTAACATGGCTTCCGAAAAAGAGAAGATGGCGGCTGCCGAGACCAAGTCTCCCTCTAACAAGAGCAACTGTACCTCCCCAGGGAAGAAAGGTGAATATCCCATCATTCTTCCATCACTCATTCAAGTAAATCATCGATACCATTTAGATTTAATTTTATTGTGCAGTGATTTTCATTATTTCAATTCAACTTTCTCTGTTAAACTTCCCGCCGAATCGTGCGACGGCATTTTACGCTCAACTTATTTTTACTAATCATTGAACCATTCTGCTGTGTGCTATTTCAATACGAAAAACGGTTTTATGATCTTTCAAGTGAGTAGGTTTTATAGGAATATTTGTAGAAACAAAGAAACACAATTACTTTTGCATTGAAAGCAGAATAAGGGCTATTTATGGAGGAGCCCTTGAGATCAATAATTCATAGGTAACCTTAACCTGTCGATGCATAGCAAGGCGAAGGAAGGAGAACGCGGAAATAAATAGACATAAGTAGGGGTACAGTTGACCGGCTTCCCGCCTTGGTGTTGAAGCCTGATCGGCTTAGCGTTGTGTGAAGCAACGTGATTGCAACTTCAATAACTTAACTATATATAGATGCAATCATAACGCTCAATCACTTCATATCTAACTAATAGTTTGAGTTAACAACAAGTAAATTACTTATTTACTTCGAAACGTAATTGATTTTAAAACAAGTGATGTGTTTGTGGAAATAATTGCAAGATTACTTGATTAATAAGTCTGCGTAATGGCAATAATCTGTTTATGTTTATCGGAACAGCAATCTTTATGTTCAGTTACTACACAAACAGAACTGTACCTACATACATTCTTATTTTGTATTAAAAGAAAATATGAGTTTTTTTTGTATTTGCTAAATAATAATGCGTAATGAAATTTAGAACATTTTCAAAATAAAAACCTTTCGAAAAATATTCCTATGCCAAATGAGGTTATATAAGTATTTTTTTAAGCTGCAACATATTATACGCAATTTGTAAAGCGAACCTAAAAAAATATCAAATCTCGTCGTCTCGGGTAGATCGAACGCCGCCCGCCGTCGGCACCGCTAGCCGTCGACGGCACTCTATCCTGAGAGCAATCCAATGCTAGTCGGACCTCTTTTTATAATCACCTATCCAATTACCCGATGTAATGTGGACCATTGGTTTTTTGTTCCCTGGATTTTAAAATTATTCCAAAATGGCGGCTGAATTTGTTTCAATTTTGCGTCTTGCGAATTATTCCTGATTTTCTTTCTAATGTTGTGAATATTTTAAACAGCGGTTCAATATTTATTTCTCCCCGATAAAGCGATATGTTCGATCACGTGTCACATATAATTTTGAGGGAAAGTATGTGTGCTATAAATAAACTACTCCGTCGGCGAATAGAGATGGATGTTATGTTTTACGCGTATTGAACGGAAATGAAGAAAAATCGCTCCATGATTTATCTCCCACATATTCTTCTATATAATTATCTTTCAACGAAACATTATTTTTGTTCCGATCGTATAATATGTTACTTGCAAAAAGAATAAATAAAATAAAAAATAAAAACTTGCAAAAAGAAGTTCAGAATCTTTGTATTGAATTATCTGTAATGAATTATCTTGTAACATATAAGAACATTATTTTGTTTGGGAAACCAATTAGAATTAATGTAATATTAAAATGCAAAAAAAAATGGCATTTCATCAAACCATAAAGCATATGTATCTTGTGAATTGTCGAATAAATAAATATTAAATTTTGTGTATAATTAATTATAAGAACAAAATGTTATAACTAAAATTGTACTTTTTGCTAAATAAAATAAATAAATAAATAAGTCATGATAACACTTAAAAACCAACTCTAACGTAATAGGAAAATAACCGAAAATTGCTTATCGCTTCTCAATTTTTCCGTCTAATATTAAACCGGGGACATAAATAGTGGTTTGAGGAAAGCAAAAAATGAAATAGTAAAGACTTTACTCGTTAGAAAAGGTTTGTGAAGCGTTTTTTATCACGCTAGGTGATGATGAGGCAATATACGTTGGCAATTTTTCTTCGCCACACGAACCAAAAGGAGGCAATAACGCAGACCCAACAATAAATTGTTTCAGTACTTAACTACAAACGTTAACGTAAGGGTCTTGTTAATTTTTCACATCGTTGAGCAATTGTCAAAGTTTATTTTATCTAGCTCCCCGTTTATTGTTCCGGCTCGACTGCGGCCCAGCTAACGTTAAAGTTCCTTTGTTTCAACACAAAGCCGGCAATGGATGAATTACAGGTTTCAATGGTCGTTCAATACGGGTACTTCTTATTTCTAGCTATTGTTTTGATGAAGCTGATGTGCGTGGGGTTGGATTTTCTAAGGATTATGTTACAAGTACCTACGAGTATGTGTAACGTTTATCTGCCAACTTTAATAGACTTTTTTTAAGTGTGGGAGAGTCATGCTTTGGCACGAATGGGTCAGCTTGACCGGAGTAATATCACGGCCTCACAGAAAACCGGCGTGAAACAACCACAGCGTTGTGTTTCGCCGTGTGAGTGAGGTTACCGGAGGCCCGAAAAAACTTTTCTAATTAAATTTTCAAAGCTAGGTAGACCAAATTCTTAAGCAGATATTTTATACGTGAGACACCTATGCTGCTGTAGAAATGTACAGGCTCGACCGGTGTGATACCACAGCATCATATATAACCGACGTGAAACACTACATAGCTGTTTTATCGTGTGAGTGAGGTTACCGGAAGCCCAATCTCTCTTTCCACATCCTCAGCCCCAATCTCCACATACCTAACTACCCAATCCTTAAATCTCTAACCGCTAGTAAAGAAATAACGCATTCGTAACTCATCATGGTGTTGTGGGTGACGTCTTCACCTTCAGGTAACCCGACTCCACGTTTGCAGACTTCTTACATAAAACAGTAATTATCAGTTGACATTGTACGATGCAATTGCTTGTACCAAGTGTCATAACACCCTTGTTTCTGCCTCTTTGGCTCCTCACTGCCCATAATTACACGTCATTACGGTACTAAAGTTTTGAGATGTTTTTTTATGTGATGCGACGTGCAGACTGACCACCTTATGCTAAACAATCAGCGCCGCCCATGAACTTTCGCAGTACCCGAGGAGTTGCGGCGTTGCTGGATTAAGGTTTCGGAGATTTAGGGATAGGGAACACTCACTCACGCAGCGAAACACAACGCTGTAACAATAATCGCCTAAATACGGTAGTTTCCAACTAGTTAAACTCAATACTTTTATCCAAATGTCAAAAACGATACTTTTTTATGAAATTTGTATGAAAAAAGTGAGTTATAACGTCATAGTATTTTTGCGTCAAATTGCGTAGGCACCTATTTCTTAAAATTTAGCTTAAAAATATATAAATTTTGTATATCAATTGATCGATGAATAAAAGTATAGTTATGTTTCGATATTTTATTGTATTGTAACGTCGAATTAATTTATTTTTGACCTAGGAAACTAACCAATTGTGACTGACGGCGACTTATCCTTAAACATTTACAACTAAGCAGCTTACTCTTCATTTTAGTCGAATAATAATTGTAAACAATTATGCCCCATCATAAAATCCTCTAATAACATCAGGTCCGTCGTTACCGTACATTCATACTTAATTGCCCTTTCATTCCGATGTTCTTTCTATATAACCTTATAATATTATATGAATTGTTAGCAATAAATTACGAAGTTTTCCGTTTTAAACGTTAAATAGGCTCATATAAATTCTCAGGCTAACGCTAATTGCTTGTATTTACAGGGGAATTTAAAGATATCTCAATAGAGGATATTACTGTGATAAGGACCATTGGTCCTCGCCTATTAAGTGGTTTCAGCTTCAAAATTATTTTATAAACATTCATATTCAGCACATTATTTGTATAAAAAAAATGTCTAAAGACAATTATAACCTCGAAAAAGTATTATTTAGAATTTAAATTTAGAATTCGAATCATAAAATATTTTAAAATATTGCCTTCCTATTGCTTACTAATATTAGGAGGTAAAATTTGTAAGTTGTATGTTTGTAGGGGGTATTCTTTGGAACCGCTGGTCAGATTGCCAAATTTTTTCACAGATAGATAGCTAGAATGTTCTTGAGTGCTATAAGCTAGAAAACATCACACTACGCTTAAATGGAGCCGAGCAGCGGGTGAAACGCGCTCTAGAGTAGCTAGTAATCAATTTTTACATTGATTTAGTACGCTCAATATTTAACGTTATATAAAAAACATCAAAGGAACTTATATATTTTTCACAAAATCTCCAGCAGGGACTCATATATTTTTCACTTCGGCGAAGCAGTTGCCATCAAAAGATAAAACTTCCTAATTCAGAACTATCGGAACAGCTTAAAGAGGCCACTTTGAAGGATACTTCTCAGTATCTTAATGTTTGCTGTTGTAAGTCCGTCGCAGTTCTAAGCGTACATTTAGGATGGGTCGCAGAACTTACAAGTCTCGTTGTAAACTTTTTAAATTGAATCCAATTCCTCCAGCCTCGCCCAACTTTGGACCCGTCCTTAGTTCCTCGTGTACATAATAAATGTCCGGGACTTTGCCTATTACTAATATCCCAAAGTTTAAGGGTTAAATTATGTGATGTACCTACGTAACAAAACTTGCCAAAATCTATTTTCGAGTTATTTGCTGAATTGGGGTACAGAGGAAACAATTAAAATGTAACGGCCTTGAAATGTGTATAAATCTGGAAAATGAATAAACAGCAGGAACAAATTAAATAGAATGAGTTTCTCTGTGACGGCCACTTAACTTTCAAACGGCGATGAAAGCCCTAAATTTTCTCGGGCGTAAAGAGTTTCCACAGCCGTATTAAGGTTTTAAATATTTCTGTAGTAAAAAGTGATCAAAGCGTAATGTAGAGCGTGGTATTAAGGCGCTCGCTGAGAGTCGCTAAGACGCAGGTAAAGAGTTAGAAAAGCATTGTTCTTATAGGCAAGGAGACGTGAGCAAGCCGGCTGCGCTCGTTACGTTATAAAAGTGCTGCTCCACTCCGCTCTTCACAGATCTGCATTAGCGCACACTGAGCATTTAATCC